GCAACATTCTTCCAGTTTCTTTTTCTCTTGTCGAAGGAGAAGATACAGATTCTTGGGCTTTTTTCCTCTGAAATTTACATGCACATGTTATCACGAGGGAAAACATCTGTCATTTCAGATCGCGGAGCTGGTATCAAAGCAGCAATGGAGTCTTTGGGTCCAATGTGGCAACCACCCTTTGTCAAACATAGGTATTGTCTCCGACACATTGCTACGAACTATCATGGAAGGTACAAGAAGCATGATGAGCGTCAATTAATTGTGCGTATGGGTAAGTGAAAGCAAGTTAGTAAGTTATACATTTTTTGATCATTTTAATTTTGCAAAGAAAGCAAGTTAGTAAGTTATACATTTTTTTATCAGGTTACGAACTACTTCCTCGAACGTTTGAATCAATGCTTCAAGATTTGTGGGCGAAGAAAGAGGAAGGATACGATTACATCAGCCTCATCGATAAAGAAATGTGGACGAACACATATGATGGTGGATATCGATATGGACACATGACGACCAACTTGGCTGAGGCAATCAATTCAACCTTAAAGGGTGCACGTCACTTACATGTAGCAGCTTTGGTAAAAACTACATATTTTCGTTTGGGGCACTTTTTGCGAAGCTCGGGGGACAAGCTCAAACTTGGATGCAAGGTGGTCATGTCTATCACCCTAGATTAGTTAGAGATCTACAGAAAAAAATTATTGCATCAAATGGAATGTCTGTAACAAGCTTCTCTAGAAGGCATGCAATGTTTCGTGTCACAGAGTTACCGTAACCTCTTCAAGGGATTGAAGTTGTGTCGTTAAGAGTAAATCTAAGGGAATGAACGTGCGACTGTGGGTTTTTTCAAGCTCTGAAGTATCCATGCTCTCATGTGATAGCAGCTTGCTCGTACACACGTCAATACTATAACCATTTTGTGGATCCCGTATACCTACTATATGAAGTTTTTAAGGTATATGAATTTGAGTTTCCCCCCATAGGTAATGACAAAGACCCTGATGAGGTTCAAGATTGACTTTTGATTGTACCAAATCTTAGTTTATTGAGGGAGCGTGGTCATCCAAAATCCAATCGAATTTATTGCGATATGGATATTCGAGAAATATCTAGACAAGACAGAAGATGTGGGCATTGTAGAAACCTAGGACACACGAGAAAAACATGTCCACTTCTGTTGTCATCAAGTAACAATTGATGAGGAAATGATGTATTTGTTTATCAAATAATAATTATTGTACTTTAATTTGCATTTACTTTAAGTTAATGATAACCAAATTGGTATTTGAATATAATTTTAAATACAACAAACTTACAATAAGTATTAAATGATAACCAAATTACAATAACTGATATTAAATGGTAATAAACAAAATTAACTGAAATACATTAAAAAAAGTCCAACAAATTTAACAAAATAAAGTAAGTATTAAATGAGAAATAATAAAAAATTACAATTTAACAAAATAAAGTAAATACAAATATAATAAAAAAATCTATCGATGCTTGCGACGCGAATGTGTTCCGCAGGGTGGTGACTGTCGGTCTCGAGGAGGATTTCTTCGTATCACTGGTTCTGACTCCTCGCTGTCATCATCATCGTCATCGTCGTCATTATCGTCGTCGTCGTCCTGAGCAGATACATTAGGTTGATGAGGAGCTGATGACGATGAAGAACCTCCATAGAATAAGGACACTGGAGGTGTATGACTGACTATCCCACCGGCCTGCGAAAACTGGGAAAACCCAGACATCGCTGAGTGTGAAAACTGTACAGGAGGTGTCTGTGCTGCGGTAATGGGTGATGAGGCTGAACCCGCCAAATATCCAGTATATGAACCCCAAGTCAGATTTGTAAACATAAACCCATAATAGCCTCTAAGAGGGGTCATATGTGATGGTGGCGGCGACGGGGTCATAAAACCAGGTGAAGGTGGTGGCGGCGGCATCTGGTAATGGAAAGGCACTGGCGGCATCATATATGGTTGCGACATCATAAATGGTTGCGGGGGCTGCTGTGAAGGTCCTGCTGGTGCAACTGAGGATGAACCGGAAGCATCTGCTCTCCGTCCACGAGTCGGGGGACGATGGTGCTGTATCGGATCACGTCTCTGTCGACGTCGCAGAAAGGTCTACCCTCGTGCATCCTCGGGAAGCAGAAACGGTTTCCCGTTACTGTTGAACCACTCATAGTAACCGTCAGCATACATCAAGAAGTCAGTAAAAATGGGCTCTATACAGGGAAGACGCTGATGTCGATCCTCCCACAACACGACCCACTCGACGGTCGTATAACAAATCAGAGGGACCATCGCCATCCAAACATCTGATGGACCCCTCAACTCTGGTGGGATCACCGCCCTCACATCATCAGTAGAATATGGCACCCATTCAAACTAAAATAAATAATATATAATTTTTATCAAAATAATAATCTAATTATATAACTATAATCTAAAATCGATTTTTAAACATTAAAATTCATACCTGTGTGCCAGTCTTCTGATCGATTAGCACCCTAATTTTTTCTAAATCATCAGGTAGCTCCTGATGATTTTTCTTATCAGTAGACCACCTATTCAAGGAAAAAAATTTATTATACGTTGTATAAAATTATTAATATACAAAATCAGTTTTATAATTACCTCAGAAGTAGTGGAAATACGAATGGGTTCTTCACAACGGGACATAAAAAGGGCAATCGATACAATGTCCAAGACTGCAGCAGTAGGAGACATCCACCGATAGCATTACGCCTGTAGTCAGTGGCTCTACATATCTCCCTGCACAACAAAGCCAAAACTGCCGAGCCCCAACTGAATGATCCGACGAGACGAAAGACGCTAAGATGTCGAAACCACATGCAGTGAACTAGGTTGTGCGATTTGTCCCGCATCAGCAACCCTCCTATCAACTGCAATATGCATGCCCGTGCATACATCTTAACCTCATCCTCAGAGGCGTCTGCGCTCAACTCCCGAAAATTAGCATTTAACCAATTTAACGGTATCCTACCTCCGATAAAACTTTCCGGGACACATCCTAGATTATCCCGGCACAAAGTAGTCCAAGAACCGGAAGCTATCCTTGATATCACATCTCCATCCATCGGAAGCCCCAGGTGCATAGAAACATCCTCAAGCGTGATCATGCACTCTCCGCACGGAAGATGGAATGTGTGGGTCTCCGGCATCCACCGCTCTACTAAGGCAGAAATAAGGTCTGGTTCTATCTTACAGTGACCCTGATATCTACCTATGTAACCAAATTCAGCCTCTACTAAATACGGCAAGACACGGCTAGGTATCACTAACTTAAGATTCCTAATAAAAGGATATAATACACAGTCCTTCTCCTAAAAATAAATAATTACAAAAATTAATTCTTAATCTAATAATCATGCATTAAATAAATCAACTAATTATTACTAATAATTTAAATTAAATTAAAACGTTAAAATGTTACCGTATCAGCAAAGTGTCGAGATATATGATTTCCATCCAAGCGAAGTAGATTGTCTTCCATTATATATCTGCAAAAAAATTATATTAGTAAAATATTAAATAAAGTAAAATACTTAAATAAATTAAATACATAATATTAAAAATATTATAAAATATACCTTAAACAGAGAGAGTATTTGAGAGAAATTGAGAAAATTTGAGAGAATTTGGTGTGATGAAAGTGATTGAGGATGAGGGTATTTATAGGGAGGATTGGGGTGTGAACATGTGGGTAATTAAAGGTATAGCGCGCCCCCTGTACCGCGCTATACCCCACGTGTTAGATAACCAGGTATAGCACGACCCTTGATCCGCGCTATACCCCTACGTGACGTATAGCGCGGATCAGGGGGCGCGCTATACACACGTGTAACCCATGTTAGCGTATAGCGCGGTACAGAGGGCGCGTTATACCCCAAGTGGCGCCAAATCAACATATAACGCGGGACAGAGAGCGTGCTTTACTGCTACATGTGTTAGATCGGGAAATATAATTTGACCGGTGTTAAATCAGTAAATATACCAATCACCGGTGATTTTTCGAGAAAAACGCCCCCAAACCCATGCATCTAGCTTGCCTCGCCTACACCGCCTAGTCTGCGAGGCTGCTGCATGTTCATGCTACTACCTCTTAATGAAACAATAATTTTTTTTGATGAACAACGAAGACGAGTTACAAATCAATCATCTACATTGCAGTTTTTTTAATAGAAAATGTGAACAGTGAAGGCGGATTGTAAATCAATTGTTTACACCATAGGTTTTTTGTTAACAGTAAATGTGAACAGTGAAGGCTAGTTGTAAACTAGTCGTTTATACCGTAACAATGAATTTTTTTTTATTGAACAGTGAGGACGAGTTGTAAATCAACCGTCTCTAATTTTTTTATTCGAAAAAATAAAATGAATAATGAAGATGGGTTGCACTCAAACCATCTTTCAATTTACTGTTCAAAGTGTCATAGATTCAAAAATAAATTGGCATTTGTTATATTTTTAAAAAGAAATTTCTAAATGTAATATTTGACTAATTTACCCCTAATCTTTTATAAAAAATTATATTTAAAATATATCTCAAAGTTTTTTATAGTTTGGAATAGAGTAGACTCAATTATTTGCAAGAGTTACTATCATTTGACTAGGTGTAAAATCTTAAAGAACTTTAAAGAAAGGAGGGAAAAAAAACCCATAAAATTGAGCCACATCAAACACATCGCTCATTTTGGAATTCAAACGACGTAGGTAAACATACTTGTTATGGAAAAGCTTTACATGAAAAGATTGCTTGACTGAACTCCAACTACAAGGCACATGATCTTTCCTTGTGGTATTGCATTTCTACATTTTCACACATAGAAGTATGTATTTATTATCAGATTTGAAAAATCAGCAGCTCATATTACAAGGATTGCCATCTCCCTTTCAGCATTTCTACTGAAGGCATGGACGACAAAAAGGAAGACAGAAAAAGTGATAAGAAAATATATTTATGCATATATTGTAAATTAAGTTAGCTCTGATTTTCAGTTGTGTTGTGAGATCTCCTTTGAAGGCTAACCAATGAGAAGTAAGCTCCAGTGGGGCCCTTGGACAACAAGGATTGGTGGGTCCCTTTCTCCACCATCTTCCCTTTGTCCAACACTGCAATTTGGTTACAGTTTTGAATGGTACTTAGCCTATGAGACACCACCACACTGGTCCTCCCAACCATGATCCTCTCAAGTGCTTCTTGCACTGCTTTCTCTGATTGGCTATCAAGTGCACTGGTGGCCTCATCCAAGAGCAAAATTACAGGGTGTTTCAGTATGGCTCTTGCTATTGCGATGCGTTGCTTTTGCCCCCCTGAGAGCTGCAATCCCCTATCTCCACACCATGTGTTATAACCATCTTTTAACCCTGAAATGAACTCATGAGCATTGGCTGCCATGGCTGCCTCGATGATCTGTGATTCATCAATCTTATCAGATCCTCCATATGCAATGTTTTCTCTTATGCTGCCTGCAAATAGTGAGGGCTCTTGGCTAACCAGTGCTATGTGTTTCCTTAATGATCTAAGCCTGTATGACCTTATATCTCTACTGTCGATTTTCACTGCACCCTCGATTGGATCGTAGAATCTCTCGATTAATCCGATGATTGTTGATTTCCCTGACCCACTTTGTCCAACAAGTGCAGTTGATTTTCCTGCTTCTATTTTGAGGGAGAAGGCTCTAAAGATCATAACGTTGGGTCGGGCAGGGTATGCAAAGTCTATGTCACAGAGTTCCACATGGCCTGATATCGTTTCAGGATTGTATCCATCGGGATCTTCAGGTTCAATAGTTGTGTATCGGTCTAATACTGCAAAGACTGATCCAACTGCTTCTGTACCTTTGGCAAGGTCGGAAGTCATGCTTCCGGCGTCAGCTATCACACGGCCGGTGCTTACCAAGATCATAAAGGTCTCGAACAAAGCCTTTGCAGTGATGTAACCTTGAGAAATGAGTTTACCACCATACCAAAAGTCTAAGGCCCAAGTACAAGTTGTTAGGCTTTGAGATGTTCCGAGTCCGATGCCGGCAAACCATGATTGACGGATGCTCTCTCTTCGAGGGCCTTCCTGAGCCATTTCGAGCATTTTTAGGATTCTGTCTTGGGATGAGAAGGCGGTGATGGTTCGAAGGTTGGAAACTGCCTCTGCAGCCAGCTTGCTGCTTTCACCTTGGGCTTTAATAGCCTTCTGAGACATGCTTTTCAGCAACACACGTCTCATGTAGAAACACACGATTATGATCGGTTGAACCGCGATCATAACAACCGCAAGCCTCCAAGCTATGACCAACCCCATGGTGCAAGCTATGGTTACTGCTGACATAGTTTGCACAATCAATGCCATTCTATCACCTACCAAGGATCTCAGCTGCCAAAAACAATGATAATGAAAGCTTAGCACATATAAAATACCTATTATTCTCAATATGCAGATTACAATAAGAAAATGCTAACCAAATTGGCATCCTTGGCAAGTCTAGAGCAGATAGCACCACTTGAATTCTCATCCCGATCGAACCAACCTACTTCAAACGTCAGTATCTTCGAAAACATCCTCTCTCGAATCCTCTTCACCAAGTACTCTCCCATGTACGCGAAATTATAATGTTGACCAACATTAATAAGCAACGAGAACACCGACAACCCGATAAAGCATAAGGCGTAGATCTTCGTCTTCTCCTTAATCTCGTTGTGATCGGTTAAAAAATACACTGATAGCATGGATCCTAGTGAGAATGCATAAACAGGTTGAACTGCACCAAATAGGATTGCACTCAAACACCCCATTATTGCTTGTTTCCATTCTGGTAAGTTCAATGCCAACAATCTTCTAAAAGATGGCACTGGTAACTTTTGATATTCCATTAAAGATTCTCTAGCCAATGAATTGGCGGAATCCGACCGACTAACCAAAGAGAGTCTACGACTACTTGTGCTGTAAATGTCCAAATTTGATATTGAAGATGATACATAAGTAGGTAAATCCCAGTTGGCTTCTTCAAGGGTCTTTTCTTTCTCTATTTTCTGAAGGCGGACTAATGAAGTATAGTGACCAGTATCGTTTTCTATCAACTGATCATGTGATCCTGTTTCGATAACCTGGCCATTTTGGACAACTGCTATAAGGTCAGCGTTGCGGACGGTGGAAATGCGGTGGGTGATTATTATGGCGCTGCGGCCAACGGCAACTTGGTCGATTGCTTGTTGCACTGCTCGTTCAGATTCAGAGTCTAGTGCACTTGTTGCTTCGTCTAGAAGAAGGATTAGTGGTGCTTTTATTATTGCTCTTGCTATAGCTATTCTTTGCTTTTGTCCACCAGACATTTGAACCCCTCTTTCACCAACCTGTTCATCCAAAACAATGGTTTAAAAGTTTGATTACCCGACAATAATGCTTAGTTCTTTATTTAATATAATCTTAGGTAAACTACACAAATATTCCCCAACTAGGATACTGCTTTGTTAAGTTTCTTGACTATAAAAGTTACAAAATGGTCACCGGACTTTTCATATTTTCTAAACTCATACTTTTCCATTCAAAAATTGACGATCATATTAGCTAGAATTTAATATGATAACTGAGATATGATAGTCGTTCAAGATTTTGAGATCAAATTTTATTATATCATGTAAGCATTTTAACGTCCAACTCAAACTGCCATCAATTTTTTAACGAAAAAACTCAAGTTTGAAATATATGAATAGTCAAGTGATCATTCACTAAATTTTAATAGTTGTGAGACTCAACAAAACAATATCCTATGGTTGGAGGATCATTTTGTAACTTTTAATATTAAGGAGACTCAACAAAGTAGTATCCATAATTGAGGGACTATTTGTGTACTATATCCTATAATTTTCTACCTCAACTAGTTCCTCAGAAGTGATGTGATTCTAAACAAAGGCGGAGAAATGAGAAAACCTGAGTTTCATAACCCTGGGGCAACTGAGAGATGAAATTATGGGCATCGGAGGCTTTAGCTGCTTGAATAACCTCTTCCATGCTAGCATCTTCTTTGCCAAAAAGTATGTTCTCCTTAATCGTTGTAGCAAAAAGTGACGGTTCTTGACTCACCAGACCCATTTGTGACCTAAGCCACTTGACCTGCAACATATCTATAGCAATCCCATCGAGCAATATCTGTCCCCCAAGTGGGTCATAAAACCTTTGTAGTAGTGCTATGACTGTGGATTTCCCCGAGCCACTATCGCCCACTAAAGCCACAGTCTTTCCAGCTGGAATGTGTAGGCACAAATCTTTGAAAATCATGGTGTCTGGCCTTGATGGATATGCAAACTCAACATGCCTGAATTCCACTTCTCCTGATACTTTTTCCAGTACTTCTCCTTCTAAATTGTCCGAATCGATCTTTGGGACTCTGTTAATCACTTCCATAATCCGTTCTGCAGCGGTACATGCTTCGGAGAAGTACTTGACGTTCGCCAAACTAGCTCCCAATGATCTGATCATCAACAAAAAGCAGTAAATGTTACATGTTGGAATTTGTTTGTTTTATTAATATTATAAAAAAGGTAAAGTCACATATGTTTCTCGACTATGAGATATTACTTTATTGAATTCTCCAACTATTAAAAGTTGCAAAATAATTTTTCAATTACATATTACTACTTTGTTAATTCTCCGATTTTAACTATTCATATGTTATAAACTCATTCTTTTCTGTTAGCAAATTGACAATCTTCTGAGTTAGACGTTAACTTGTTGACTGAGATACGATAAAATTTGATCATAGACTTGTTTGAGTTATATTTTGTGGATCGACTCTCCGATTATATTATGTCGTCAAGCCAATGCTTGAAACATTATACTGTCGAGCCAGTGCTTGAAACCAACGACGATACCAATAGACATTATTAAAATATAATTTTTATCATATCCCAATCAACATGTTAACATTCAACTCAGACGATCATCAATTTTTTAACAAAAAAGACTAGTTTGGATCATATGAATAGTCGGTGATCATTTTGTAACTTTTAATAATCAGGCGACTCAACAAAATAACAACCTATAATCGGAGATCATTTTATAATTTTTAATAGTAAGAGACTCAACAAAACAATATCCTACGGTCGAGAAATTCAACAAAGTAAAATCCTATAGTCGGAACATTTGTATACTTTACCCTATAAAAAAACACAGTTAATGCAGAAAAGTTAAAAGGAAATTACAGGCCTCCCATGGCAATGGCAGCAGCGACGATGAAAACGGTCCCTCCCGGAGCACCATGGCGCATAACCATCCTACTGCCATAATACGACATGAAGGACCAAGTGGCGAAAACGATGCCGTTGCTTCCGATTGCAAGACCTTTGGCCAAACCTTGTCTTAACCCCAACTTCACAGAGACTTGTAAAGCAGTAGAGAATTCAGAAATGCATTTGCTTTCACCAACAAAGGAATAAACTGTCCTAATAGAAGATATAGCCTGCTCTGCAATGGTATCTGCCTTACTGTATTCTTCACTCATTTTTCTAGCTATTCCGATCAACCCTCTTCCGTACATTAAACCAGGGATCACCAAAAGAAGAACAAAAGGAAATCCCACAATTGTCAGTCTCCATAGCAGTATGAACGCTACCATATAACATCCAAAAAATATTGCAACGTTCATCAGAAAATTTGGGACCTGCATAACACCATCTCCCATTAGCAATTCAATAGCTTGTTTTTTATTCAAACCATCAAATTTGCAACAAAAATAAAACCTTTTCACTGAGAACATCTTGGATAATTAGACTATCATTTGAAACACTTGTGATGACTTCGACTGAGCTTTTAACATGCAAATCAAAGTATCCCACATCTTGTCTTAGGATAGCTTTCAAATACCTAGCTCTCATTCTTCTTGCTTGTCTCTCACCTGTTCTTGACCAGCAAAATCCTTCTAAAATATGAAAAAAAAATGTCATAAACTATCATTAAAGTATTCACTATTTAAGATTAATGATGTTAATTTTATATATAATGATAATATTATTTAAATTAAAAATAATAATTATTAAAATATAATTTAATAAAAATATTTATATAAATGTTAAAATCTTAATTTTTCTATCTTTAAACTATTATTTTTTAACATTGATATTTCAAATAGTAGAAAGTTAATAAATATTTTTTTAAAATATATTATTAAATACTCAAATTAACACTATTTAAAGTGTTAGATTAATATTGAATTATCCATGTAATATTTTTAGAATTTTAATATATTACAATAATTATTTAATATTATTTTTCATAAATATTATATAATATTATAAATATGCATATTTTTATATTATAAAACATTTATTACTAATTATTTATAGTACATATATTCATTATTAGAAAATTAAAATATATAATACTCCATTAAAATATAAAAGTATTATTTAAGTATGTTTAATAATATTGAAAGTGTAATATTTGATATCAATATTTTAGTATTTTCAAACAAAAATTATAAACTAAAACTAAAAATTATTATTTTTAAAAGTTCTTGGCTCAACTAAAACTAACTTTCTTCATAAAGCTTGTATTTTTTTATGGGAATTTATTTTCTAATGATGAGTTAAACTTAAGAAGGATAAGTCTTTTTTTTTTGGAATGGGATGATTATAAGATATTTTTTTGTTTACATTTTTTTTCTTAGTTTAGATTTTTCTTTCTTAGTTTATTGACAACATATTCTATAGATACGGTTGTTCGAACTTGAGTCCTCTAAAAGGTATCATTTTCTTTAATCACTAAGATCACTTAATATGTCATTCTTAAAGAAGAAGTAAGTTTTTCAGAAAAGTGATTATTGATCAAATTAAGTTTTTTTACGAAGTAAATATATAGAAATAAAAAATTAAGACATTATCAATAAAGAAAATACCCCATCATATAAACTTACCTAGAAAACAAGTAATCCATGACCAGCAAGCCAAGTACAACAAAACCATTGAATTCTGTCACCCATAAAACCAAAGCATGTTAGCCTGTGTTAGTTTGCATGTGCTCAAGGGAAAAAAAAAACATAGAAACCAAGATGGAAAAAAACAAGACCTTGTTGATGTTATGAATGAATACGTCTGCAGTGAAGGCTGAAGAATGACCCAGATTATTCATTAACTTGCTGGTAACAAGTAAACCAAGAGGTGTACTAAAACCATCACCAACGGCTCCAATGAAGCCAAGACTCATCAACCACATATCTACTCCATCTGCATATATGAAAATGGATCTTACAGACCCTTTTATCTTCTTAAGCACTGCACCACTTTTCTGCTTCTCATCTCCCATCTTTTAAAGAGAAAAACAGGTACACCCAAAGATTCCCAAACCACTTGAGGGATTCGATGGTGTTTTGTTTATTTTACTCGTCTCCACAATATCCTTTTAAGACAAGTTAGAGGAGAAACAAGTGACAGGGTGATGTTTTCGGATGTGTGTTGGGAAACAAACATGGGAAATATCATGCATATATAGTTGTTCTTTGTGGGGTTTATTATTGCTAGTGATGAGTATACTATTGAAAATGATAAAAAAAAAATTCTTTTTATGGTTAAAAAAAAGGACTAAATGGACCTATTACAAAAAAAGCAATATTTTTTTAACAAGGAGAAGGAAAGGGAGTTGAATATATCCCTTATTTTCTTTTAAAATTCACATTTTTAATTATCCCAATTTAGAGAAAAATATTAGAGAAATGAATTGAATTACTTTAGAAAATGTGAAATAACTTTCTTATCCCTCGTATAAATTATTCTATAAAAAGTGTAATTAAAAAACAACTTTCTTACCTCAATGATTAAGGGGAGTATTGTTATAAAAAATGTCTAGAATTTGAATTATTATGTTATGTTGTCTGTACATTGTTAATAATTAAAAAAGATTATGACCAAATATTGTCTTGTAATTATCCTAAATTATTTAAGAAAATAATAACTTTGATTAAGGAATTATGTCCCTTAAATAACATCAAATTCAAATTTTATATTATGGAGAAAATTGAAAATTAATCGAGATTAAAAATCAAGAGTTTATTCCCTTCATTTACTTTCCATTATTTAACTAAACGAAATGTATAAAATTCACTCTCCTTTCCTTTACTTTTTTAACTATCCAAACAAAAAAAATCATATATATCATTTTATTTTCTTAATTTTTCCGTTTCCTTTCTTTTATAAAATTCATATATGGATCAAAAATACTTTTAAGCTAGTTTCGAAATTGATTAATCAAACATATTGAAAAATAAAAATTATTGATTTGATCTAAAGAAAACACTTACAAAATTTCTCTTCACTCTATTCAACATAAATATATGATTCAAATCAAATTTAAAAAAATTATACATATGGTAAACATTAAATTCTAAAATAATATAAAATTCAATGATAACTTATATGGTTAATCACTTCACTATCAATGTATTTTTATTTTTATAATTTGCTTATAAAAAAATATAATTTAATCACTAAATTTATTAATAATTTTTCACTTGTTCATTATTTCATTAACCTTTCAATGACTATCTCCCTAAACTATTGGGTCAATGGATAGTCTACAGTGAATGTTATACACCGAAACATACCACTAATTCTACATACCAAAACACACCACCAATTAAATTATCTTTCTTAAGTAAATATTAAAAGGTAAATTACACTTTAGTATTTACACTATCATTTTTATTTTATTTTAGTACCTAAACATTGTTTTCTTCAAAACCGTTAATGACAATGTTGGTGTGGCATAACATGTCAATTTTTTTAATTTTTAAATTTTCACATCATCTTTCTATTTTTTAAAGCATTTTTTAAATTAATTTCATTTAACCAATTAAATGGTGACATGTGTCGCCATTTATGAGGATAAAATAAAAAAATCATTTTCGCTTCTATCATGAATTAAACTTAAGCTTCTTTTATGAAATGCAAGGTACTCAACCATTGATTTAAGCTAGTCGTTTGAGTTAATTTCAACACATTTTGTATTTAATTTATATTAGGGTATCACCACAAAATCAATATTTTTCAATAATTATAAAATTCAAATATGAGACATTTTAGATTAAGGACCGAAAGATTAGCCACTCAACTATAACGCGAATCTATTTTTATTATATCGAAATTAATACTTACTTACATAATTATTAAATTAAAGAATAATTTTTGAATTTATTTGAAAATAAAAAATAATTAAATATTATTTATATATTTATAAAAATTGTTTTTTTTAAGAAAGACGGATCTCATTAAAAACCTCTTCTAAGACCTATAAGGGGAAAAGAGTACCTAAGAACTTGTATTACAATTCCAATATCCAAAGATACAACAATCCTAATAAACTCAGGACAAACCAAGGTAAAATAAAAGGTATTTCTAGAATGAAGGGCCCACTCGGCCAACATATGAGCAACCTTATTACAATATCTAGGAACATACCACACTCTGAAATGCACATTAGCATGCAGGCCCCTCAGGCTTCCTCAATGTGATAACCCAAATTGGAAAGATCCTCCTCAAAACGAGTTAGCTTGTTGACAACGAGAGTGGAATCGGACTCAAAAATGGCATGCATCTAATTGTGTTCGCAAACCAATGAAAGAGTCGCATTGAAGGCGTGAATCTCCGCCAGGCCAGCTTCAGCACACTCTGGTGCAGATGCCGTCATTCTGCCTAAAACCTAGCCAAAAGAGTCATAAGCAATAAAACCCACCGTTGTCAATCATCCAGATTGACCTTAACATAGCCTGCGGGTGGGGGTTGTCTTTTTTCCGGGGCAATACACATACACGATCTTGTAATATTTGCTGGTATAGGGTGCTTCCTCCCCAACGCATGCGTCCTGGCCCATAAATATTCAGTTTGAAGGGCTTTAGCATTAATTGCAAGGATCCAAGGTGGTTTGTACTTGTTTTCATGAACCTTGGAATTCCTCCCATTCCACGGGTTCTAAAGAAGGACAAGAAAATGAGCAAAACCATCAACGTCTAAATGAGTAATCACTACTTCAAGACAATCCAACAGAGAAACAAGTTGACTTCACAAAAATACGCCCTGCATTAAGGCAGATACAAATGTTTCCTGGGCATAAGCACATTCTCGTAGGATATGCACAATCGTTTCCTCCTCTAGGCCACACATAGGGCAAAGACCATCCCCAATACCAGCTTCTCGTATGCGCTTACCAACTGGTAAACCCTCTTGAGCCATGTGCCAAGAAAAAATCCTAATCTTTGATTGCACTAGAGCTTTGCAATCAATTTCCACACTCTGGTAGACGTGGTTGAGGAGTGAGTTGGTCATTGTAACCACCAGTACACTGAGGAAACAGAGTAAGTACCAGAGTCGTGATTCCCCCAAATGATAGCGTCCCCTTGGGTGGGGGCAATAGTCGTGGAGAAAATAAGTTCAGAGTCAGAAGGTGTGAATGTTTGACGTACCCTTGATTCATTCTAATTTGAAGTACCTTATCGAATAAGTTCCCTACATAAAGTTGTTGCAAAGGATGGGAAGAGTAATTACCTGTAAATGAAACTAACTTTGATCCTTCCCATTTATCCTTAATAAGATGAACGCTACTATCTCGTCCCACTCTCCAGTACAGCCCACCAGAGAGCACTTGAAGGGCCTTATAGACACCTGACCAAGCATAAGAGGGCCTGTCTCCCCTCGGTGCATTAAGCACAACACAACACGGGTAGTCCTTTGCTTTCCAAACCCACGCTAGTAAGCACTCAGGACATTAAATCAAACGGCAAACCAGTTTACCAAGCATAGCCAAATAAAATGAATGATGATCAGGAAAGCCAAGACCCCCATGATTTTTGGGTGCGCATATCGCAGACCATGCAATCATTTTAAAACATTTATTTAATTTTTAAAATCATATTATTTATTTACTTTATAATATTAAATTTTCTATTTAATTTTAGATAACATTATGTGATACCAAATTGATAGTTGGATACTAAATGTGTAATTTACTTTAAATTTTAAATTGTTTAAAATTAAATAGAAAATTTAAAAATATTATTATTCCACATAAATAATTAATATGATTTTAAAAACTAAATAAATATTTTTATAATATTATAAATATATTTTTATAATGATTTCATATAAACTTTTTAAAATATATAAATTATTTAATTATTTTTAATTTCTAAATAAAAGTGAAAAACTAGTCTTTTTAATTTAATAATGATATAAGTAAGTATTAAGATGTTCTAAAAAACCAAATAAAGAGATAACTTCATGGAATTTTAAATACCACTTCCAGGAGGCTTGTTTCAATCCATATATAGACTTTTTCACTTTCATACCATTTAATCACCATCACTAGAGAAGAATCCTTCAGGTTGTTTCATGTATTCCTCTTCCTCTAATTCACCATTAAGAGAGGTAATTTTCACATCCATTTGTAGTAACTCAATATCAAAATAAGCTACTAATGTTAAGACAAAGTGTAAGGAATCATTCTTATTTATTGGACTAAAAGTCTTAGTATAATAAATTCCTTCTTGCTGAGTGTATCCTTTCACAACGAGTTTTGCTTTTATATTTTTCAATGTTACCCAATAAGACTTTTTTATTTTTATTTTAAAGACTCATTTACATCAAATGGCTTTTACACCATCAGACGATACAAGATCAGAAACATAATTGTTTTTCATGGAATTCATCTCGCTTTCCATAACGTTATACCACAATTCTGATTCACTACAGCTCATGACTTGTGAAAATGACTTAGGATCATTTTTAGCTCCAATAGTAAAGTCAAACACTTGTAGATACACAATGTAGTCACTAGAAATTATTGATTTTTTTCTCTAATAGATCTTCTTAATGGTGAATCAACATTTTCTCATGGATCATGTTGTTCATTTAGTTGTTCAATAATTTTTTAGAGTTTCTTGAACAAATTGATCTATTAGAATGTTTTCAACAACTTGTGGAATTTCATTGATTAGTTGTTCAACACCCGTTTGTACTTGATGGGTGTTATGTATGATAATCAATCTGTCACTTGAAGTTGATGGTTGATCCACATGAATTGAGTCTTGAGATATATCACTCCCACTGATTGAGTCATACTCAAGAAACTTTTCATTTTTTGATTCCACAATTCTAGTGCTATAAGATGGACAATTTTGGGTTATAAATTCTCACTTCATACGGGCATCCTCATACGTGTATCTTAATTTTCAACCATTAAACAACTCAATACTTATCTTTGGGACAACCTTGGTTAGAATTCGATCTAATATATACACAATCATTTTGATAGCTTCAACCCCATAAAGACTTAGGTAGCTTAGAGTAACTAAGCATACAATGAACCATATTCATTAAAGTTTGTTTTCTTATTTCTGTAACACCATTTTGATTATATGATCTTGACATGGTGTATTGGGTAACTATATTATT